CAAATTTCGAGGCAATTGAGCAACAATTGGTAAAACTAATAGTTTACCCACAAAAATTGCACATGAATTTGGTTTCCTCCACATAAATTTGTGGATTGGGGTGTGTGTGGGATCCCTCAATTGAACACAGGATCCAACATTTTCGTGCGACTAAGCCACAGTTCTCAAAATTGTGTAGTATCAATTGATCTATGTTTGATGACATGAGACCATGAATAGATGCTGTTCGCGAAATTATTTTCTTTCGATTTAAAACCATCGCAAGTGTATGGTTCGTTAACAAGTAATAAAGTGGATTAAATGAGTCCGAATATCGTCCCACAGAGATTGATGAGTTCAAGTATCGTCCCACAGAGATTGGTTAGTTCAATTTTACTTATTCGACCTTAACCGAAACCAAATTACTCAAAATGAATGTGGACCTAATTAAAACTCTAAAATTGGAAAGAAAACCCTACTTATGCAACTTTTATGATTGTAATGAAATTAGTAAGCAAAACAATAATTTAAAACTCTAAAATGAAATCAATTATTGAGAACGCACGTTTGTTGTAATCAATAGAAATTAAACACACTAAGATCACGATTTCCCATGCAATTATTACTGTAAACTCTAGTTTCACAATATGACAACATAATTCAATTGTTGACGTATCAATGTTCCTAAGTCTATCCAATACTCTCTCTCGAGATGTATCAAACCTATTTCTACATACCACCGTCCTATATTTCTATGACAAGTGCATATGTAAAAATTCATATAGTTTTATGAACACTTAAAGATTCACGTAGGGTATAGCGGTATATTTCTATCCGCTATCGGACCCTACGATGATTTATATTATGTCGAATCTATTCCAATTCTCTCGAATGCAAGAATAAATCACCCAAACTCACACAATTACGGGCCCTTAATTGCAGAAACAATAAATGCATATAAATCATTCAAAACAAAAGAAATATGTTTAAAGTCAAATTACAAAATTAGAAAATTAAAGATCCAACTACATGGTGCATCGATCTCCTAGCATAATAAAAATCTAGCCTAGCATAATGGGAAATAAAGAAAAACAATAATTAAACCAAGGAAGAACATCACCCAATTGATTTTTGAAGTGAAATCTTGAATCTTGAAGTGGATTGCATTGTTTTTGCCTTGTTCTTCCTCTCCAAATCCTCCAAAATTGTGAATATTCCCCCCTCTTTATGTTTCAGGGTCGTCTGGTATTTATTGGAGGCGGAATTAGGTCAAGGAAGTCGCCCAAAACCTTACTAAATCGTGTTTGAGTCGAATAAGGAAACCTGAGATTTTGTCACATTTTTATACAATACGACTGCATGGTATAAAGCCATGCTACCGCATGGTTCAGAAGTTTTAGCCCAGATTTTTCCCTGTACTGCCTTGTGCGGCCGCATGGTTATATGGTTATAGAAATTTTTTCGTCAGACAGCTTTCAGTATTTTGATCATAACTTTCTCTCCCGATTTTCAATTGAAGTGATTCAAAGTGAATTAGGAATAAAACTCAAAGATCTACACTTTTGATAGAAGTAGACTTCCTCAAATTCTGATTTTTACTATGCCAAAAATGGATCTCAAGTAGAGACT